CAAGGTAGGTATCTCGGTACGTGAGATTCCATACTTCATTGTGAAGTTGCAATTAGGGTTACCAGCCGAAACGTGTATTTAAATATCCAAAGAAAAAGCGGATATACCTTGCAAGATTCCCGAAATGTTGGTGTTTGAAAATGTATCATTGCTTAATCAAAGACTTGTTAATATGTGAAATTTTGCGTGATTAAACTGATTTATTAATTGGTAATTTAGCTGACGACAATAAATATGAAAAATGTTGGAAATAGTATTCTGTATAATAAATACAAGAACCAAAACGCGAGCAGCCACGACAGAACGTCATGTGACGTCACATTTCAATAAACTAAACTTCAACATCGTTGTTGCGAGTGCAATCAGTACTCATGCTTAATGAAATGCCACGTGACTGATTCTTTTCGCAGGAAAATTGAAATTAATGAATAAAAATATGTTTTTCCTATTTTAATAACATTTTGGAGAAAAACAAATCTTATAGTGATTTAATAAGTTCACATAATAGTTTTAAAATATTTTTCCCAAAACACCGAATTGGCCATTTCTAGATACATAAATGTTAGGTCATATAGTTGATACATTAGGCATACATAATGCTAAATTTATATTTGTCTTATAAAAATAATATATTCACTATACATTTGGTAGCCCTAGCTGCGTGCCGAACAACTCACGTCCGAAATAATTAGTAGCCGATAACGCTGGTAATCTTAACTAGAAAACCGTTTACCATGACGAGGACGGCTTCTGATAATACCGGCGTAAATATTCGATCGACACATGTCACATAATATGGCGCAGAATTACCTATCACTTATGAATGATCATCACGATAAATAAAACCGTATAAGCCGGATCTGATAAGTCTGCACCGAATTAGTTTATTTATATATCAAACAAGCTGTCCCGCGATTTTACCTGCGTATATTACAAATTTTGTCGCCCGCGTATCATGAAATAAGTATCAGCAACATATCAAGAGTTCATTAAAATCCTTTAAAAAAAAAAATATAAACAGCTATTTGAATTCCCCCGAAGTCGGAAGACCGCAGCGTATTAAATTAACAATTTGTAAACATCAGAAACCGCATACGTCGTTAATAAATTGGATATACCGAAATAGATTGTGGAAATAGAGTATGTTGACGTTAGTATTTCATACCGTATACCCTCACCGTCCACCTGTTGTACCTATTAACGATTGTGTACTTATCGTCCCAAAATAAACACCAATTATAGTGTTTTCGAATGTATGTATAATATTAATGATTATTTATTCCACAGCAACTTAAATAACTTCTAAAATATCATATCAATATAATAGGTATCAATATACTATAGCCAGGTAAAATCACCACTCTTTTACAAGAGCTTAGCAATAGTTATAACTAGAAAATTCATACTGTTGTTCCAACACGTAAAGATGCCTGCATTGACCACATTTTAAAGTAACGTTAGAAATGCAGATGCTATCGTACTGCCATTATTTATATCTGAGCATGATATAGTTGATGTTTCTTTTATAAGTAAAAATAAATACAAAAACACCAAGAAAAAAATCTGTCTTTGCTTGTTAAAAAATTCTAGTTACAGTTTTTTGCCCTAAGGCAACTATCCGCAAAAGTCAATAGGGCTACTATCCTTTTTGATACGGGTACTTGCCCTATTTATTTAAGAAATAAATAAAAGATATTTATTAATAAAAAGTAATAAACAGTGCAATTAAAACCAAAATGTATGCAAAGACACAAAAAAATTGCTGAAATCGTAATCAGTAATAAAAATATTTAACAGAGATTACTTACTAATATAATTCTGACGCTCGTCAAAGCATCGCCGCCGAAGTTTTTTGTTCACACAGACAAACCACGCGCGTCTATTTCAACGGCTTTTGCGACACAGAGACCTACATGGGGGGCACTTCCGTTTATAATCAAGTCCAAACACGAGCAACAAGCCTAATATAATAGTGTGTTCGAAACTGTGGCAAGTATCCTTCCGAGGCAACTATTTCTGATAAATTATTTACCGAATTCCTGTCGGATATACACTTTATGGGCTTTATATAGCCCTAAAGAAAGATATTACAGTTAATTCGATCTTCAATAATATCGTCATATTTCGGCCAATAAGTACATGTAATACTCACTATGAAGTTTTCTTACAAATATTTCTTATTTATTTACTTCAAATCAATAAAAGCAGAATTAAACTATTATTATCTTCAGCTTATTAACTGCAATATTATAGGCTTTCCCTATGAATGGTATCAAATAGAGGGAATATATGAATAAAACTTTTGCAAAAAAACAAATATTTTAAAGAAAAACACTGTTAATAGAATATCATTAACAAAGGCAAAAATAAACTTATACGATGCATAATCGTGTATTATTATAAAAAAAAATATTATGTCCTCAACATTATAATCTTGACACGATGCATCAACGAATTATCGAATCGAGTTTAATTTATTTGTTTGTTATCTATGAATTAATCTGTACTGACACGTTCATTCAATACGCTTTATCTAAATATCATCATATCGTGATTGATTTGACGAAGAAAAAACACCAATAGTAATGTGCTACAAAATATTTTTAGATTAAGTATTTTAATTTTATAAAAATTTCCTCACGAAAAATAAAAATATTTTTTTAAATAAAAATATTTTTCGTACAAGATAAGGTGATAAAAACATTCATTGTTACTAAATAGTTTTTATATAGTTAAGGCTAAGTATATTAGTTATAAAAGTGATAATACTTATCTTAAAAGCTTTTCATATATCCAAGAACTACTGAAGTCGGGTGGTTAATAATAACATCCTATAAAATTCGACCGGCCTTTAAGATAAGTATTGTTTTCCCTTTTTTATATTTCTTGAAGTAGTTTCAATTTTTTTATTCATATTTTTAACCGAGTGTTATCCTAACATGATAAAATAAACTTATAATTTCGAGTGATAATAAAATTACTGCCTATAATCCAGATTTGCGTTTCGTTAAATTCACATCTATAATGATTTCCATATTAGGTGATATGCTCAAATTATTCTAATATCACATTTTCCTTATTAAAACCTTTATTACATACTTTACATACTCCTTCTTCATCTGTCATACATACGGCCATGAACTATGTTCAATGTTAATGTACCTAATCTCGTCAGTAGTAGCACTAAAAACTAAATTGCCTAATATTTCAACAACTGAATGTTCTAGATATTCTTTTATTTAAGTATTCCGCACGACATGAAAGATTTTTATCAAAATATTATATTCATTCGAAGTATGGTGTTTTGTTTTGCCGGAGTTCATTTTTGTTAGTTACACATTTTAAATGTAAGTCCCCATGTTACGTTTGGATATATACATATGTACGAGTATGTACCAATTAACCGCGATTTCGCCCGCTTAAATTATAGCTTATATCACCCGCGTATGATGTAGCTTTCCTTAGTTGAACGAATTTTCATGATCGGATCTGTATTTCCTAAAATTACCCCGTACAAATATACAAAGTTAGAAACTTCGCTTCTTTATATTACTAGTATCTAAGTAATTTCAATTTTAAATGAAATACAATGACAGAACCAGCGGAAAAATATAATGTTTTAGATAAAACTAAATAAGTTATATTGAAAAATTTACTTCTTAATTAAAGAAGCTAGATAGTTACTCGTTTCAGTAAAATATAAATTTCCAGTTCTCAGTAATTATGGTCCAGACGCCTGGAACGGAGCTAGTTGCTTAAAGACAGTATTGAATGGAAACTCGGGTCAATTTGGAGACGTTCCAAAAGTGTGTCAGACGACATATGTATGTCCATGAATATGAGACACCGATTCCTTGAACTTGTGTTCATGGACATCGAACATGAAGTAACTAATATCAGACTCGCTGATTTTAAATTAGATCAAATCCTACTCACAATTAGGAACCTGATAAACAGTGGCGTAGCTACCAAGGGGTTAGGCGGGGCAGTGCCCCGGGGCCCTCAAGCTCAGGGGGCCCACGAATCTTTACCAAAAAATCTCGATCGAATTCAAATTTTGAAAATTTCTTCCATTTTCAAAAAAAATATGACAGGTGACAACTCGAGTTTAATCATGGCAACTCAGTTGTGAGAAATTGCAAAGTTATTTATATGTGTGGGTTGACAGTGTTATTAATGTTTTCATCAATTTGTTGGATATCAATATCTGTATATCATTATTTATCGATATGCGTTTTTGTGATTCGCGATTGTGAACTTCGAGTCAAGATTTTTTTTCGAGAATGGTTAAAAAGTTAATGTCTCAGGAGTAAGTAAGCGTATGTCAATAAATTTTTTGCACTGATTCATACAAAAGTTCAATTTTATTTGATTATAGCACGTATAGATAGTTACGTAAAGACATCTATAGATTTCGGCTACTCACTATAAAACTCAAAATACCGTGAAAAATACAAGTCATATGCGGTAGGGGGCCGTCCATTAATTAAGTGATGCTTTTTTGTCATTTTTTAAACCGTCAAATGTAGTAACACTGGTGGCCATAAAATGTTTGCCGGGGATTCCCCAACGACGTCTTGTGTCGTATCATTACGGTTCGCTGATGATAAAGTTGCTTATCATTTTTAAAGTATTTGTATATTTAATGATTTTACTTCAAAAACCTTACCAGTTTTAATAGTAGTGAGCCCCCTTTTTTTAATTTGCCCCAGGGCCCTAGATTACCTAGCTACGCCACTGCTGATAAACATAAAAGTATACTCACACACGAAACAGAAATTGACGTACATAAATTATTGGAATAAATTGAAAATATTTTCAATAAATCTGTTTTAACAACTGTTTCAATTACACTTATCCGCAAAACTGCTAACCTATTTGAAGCTAAAACAATGCTAACGAACAAACAGCCAATATTAATGAACGAGCACCTATAAACTGTGTACACACAATGAGTCAATAGCATTCGCGCAATTTGTTAGTTATTTCGGTAAGCTCACCTGACTTGTTCATGTTTCTGGATATAGATCTTGTGGAACTGGCCCTCCACCGGCGATATTATGTCGTTCTTCATTTCCATTGCCACGTGTTGAGGCAAAACCGAGAGCAGCAGTCGTTCCTAAAAGTTTATACAGATATTTTAGTCTATTCCATATCACATTGAATCAATACGATGCTAATGTTCTACGTCACAATGATAACCCTAAGGGTAGAATTTTATTAAGTTATCTTAGAAGGAGAACATGTTTATGGACTGTATTATTTGTTTACGCCATAATAAGGTACACACCTCACTTCATTTTATCACAAAATAAATATCCATACTCAGTCGATTACGATATTAAATTTCAATTCATTAAAACTTAAGTGTTTAGATAGTAAATAAATCATCACATTCATTGCTAAAATCCCAAATTAAGTGGCTAAAGCGAATGTATATAATATTAAAGTTGAGCCAGGCGACATTTGTAATTCAAGAAAATTTTACGCAACCAAGCGTTCAGCTCCTTAAAGCTCATAAATAAATTATTTTTCCGATTTAAACACAAATTTGATTTTTACAAAATTTGGCAGCACATCAAGAAATAATATTTAACAATATATTTATTATAGTCCATGTGTTAGGCTTGTGTGCAGAACACATTCGAGGTCCGAATGTAATAAATTCTTTTAACAGAAAAGGCAATAAATATACATTACTCTGGTTTTAATCTATAAGATTTTAAAACAGGTATTTCCGTGTAACATAATAGATTTTATTTAATTAATTGGAATTAAAGTGAAACATTAAATAGCACAAAATGCTGTATTCAACTTTTAAATGCAAAGCACTGATAATGAAATCAGTCGTGTTACAATTCAATGGCGATCAATATTGTATTAGCATACACAATCGCAAACAACGGTATGTGCGTAAGACCATAAACCCATTGGTAAACAATAGTGTCCCAAACGAAGACCAAATCGTCTGTGAAGCAAACCATAAACTTCAAACACATTACAGAGCTAATGATACAATAGGTTTTGCCTTTGAAGCCCATAAATACGCGACAATGTGCCTATTCGTATATTAAGTCACGTATAAAATGTAGAATCATTACTTAGCAACAATATATCAATATCTAACACAATAATTATTACGATTATTTTACATAATAGGTATAAAGAAATAAAGCTCCGTGTGTTGTTAAAAACAACAAAGAATTTCATCTGAGAAATATGTACATAACTTGATTTTTTCCTTCTCAAGGTCGTCATTATATTATAATATCTGAATGTATATCAACCTTTATATATATCTTCACGCCATCTGATAAAACTTATAAAAGCTAAATGATCGTTCAGAGTTTTATTTAGACAGATCAAACTGCGGACTACTCTCGAATGTCATTTTGAACGAACAGTTGAGAAATTTCTTTACAATACCAATCAATACAATTACGAACCTCCTTTTTTAATCGAATAAGAAATACTTTGTAGATCTTAACTTCGTGAAACCTTTTTCATCTGTACTGTAGTATATTCATAGATTTGTAGCGAGCTGTATTGCAAAAAACGCACCTTTTTGTTATTTCAATAACCATCGGTTGTTTTGACTCACTTGGTTACAGATCGACATAGATAAGAAGTGCTATGTGTATGGCAACAAAGTACAATGTAATTGTTACATTTTCATATGTAATTTTCGTGATAAACGGTCCCAAAGTTTTTATGTCATGTATAAATAAAGTTGCAAAGCGTGTCCAGAAAATAAGTGTACTGAATTTTTGTAGATATAAAGATTATTTGAACAAAAAAAATAATAATACCTGGTTACATATTTTTACATAAGTAAGTTATTTTTCAACCTATTTTTCGAGATAGTCACCATTGCTTTCAATGCAGGTGGTAAACCGGGGCATTTCGTGTCTATAATATCGTGGAGACATACAAGGGAACCTGCTCTTGTACTTTGTTAAACTACAGCGTCGATAGTCGTGGCAGTGTTAGTTCAATCAAATAAAACCTTTTTTAAACATTTTGAAGTAGGTTATTGTGTGGTGTGTTATACCTTGTCTTTTCATCATAATAGTATTGGTGGAGAGTACTGTTTCGAATTGCAATAAAATCTATCGGTAGAACAGACCTTCTTTTTGGAAGATTTTTCCAACCAAAGTTAAGAAAAGTAAAGGTATTATTAAGAAAACAGTTGCTTCTGTTTTCAACAATTTAGTTTACATAAGATTTTATTGCATATATAAAAATCAGAACAATAACACATTTGAACATTCCGTCAAGGTAATGAAAGTGACTAAAGGCTCCATATGTAAAACTGACGACGCATCCGCAGACAACCTTTGCCATTCATTTAGGTTAAGGAACAAAAGGTTCACACCTTTGCTACCGAACATTAAACTTAGAAGCACACGTTTTTGAGCCTTAAATCGATATCATGGCAAATAAACGAAAGGTAATTTGACTGCCATGGGAACCTGCCGCACTCCCATACGTGAAAGGTGTCACAGACAAGATTGGAAGGGTTTTGAAGCGAGCTTCCATCAATGCTTACTTTAAGCTGCCGAAGAAGATCAACCAATTCTTAAGACATGTCAGGTGTACCCTTAATTAAAAAAAGGCAATCAACACCTTAGTCTTATATGAACACGGCTGTAGAGTAGAGGGTCCGAAACGTCATAAAAGAAAATACAAACGAGATGAAACCGTTTAAAAATTGTTTCATTTTTATAAAATAAGAATTTTCAAAACAACCTAGCATATAAAAGATCTTATATATTAGAAAGCAAAAACTTTTTCAGTATTCCGTTACTAATTAAGTTGTTAGACAATTCCACAAAGTATATAAAAAGAAAATTGTTATAAATATGTCTTGCGGATGTGGCCATTATCGTCTTTACATTGAAAGAATAGAGAGAGAGTGAGAGAGAATAATACTACAATCGACATGAATTGTGTATAATTATTCCCACCTTGGGCTTTATTTATATTTGTTCCCACATTTGGCAACAAATATAAATAAAGCCCCAACGAACATTCACGGCGAAGTTTTAATTAAGAATATTGACGACAAGATTACTCTCATTTATCAACGTGTCTATTAAGAAGTTTTTGACACGAATTGGTTAATTATTTAATTTGATTGTATCATATACACCCAGTAAATTGTTTGAGGGAGAATGTGCCGGCCTTCATCGCGGCGGACGAGTGGCCCTCCTCCAGCCACAACCTCTATTTTTTGAGGATTTCCTTCATCTTTTGACGCCTACCAACACCGTGAAAAGAGAAGAAATATTACCTCTAAGCTAGGCGGACGAGATCAATTACATAAATTAAAATACCGTGCTATTATTAAAATTATCAGCCAAATTATTACTAATGACGTATCTCTATAAGCTTACGGAAATCACGATCTACTTAATTGATCAGGCGGAATGTATGAAAGTCCACTTTGTCCTTTTCCTAGCAAAGTTCAAGCAAAACTCGGCAATGAAGAAATACTGTTAGCATATCTTTTCCTCATGTACCAATTAGCTACGTGCGTAGGGTTGTTTGGTGTCCGTTTAAATTTCCTCGGGATACAGCAGAAAATCATCCCCATTTCGTTGGAAAACCGAAACGCTGCACAAAACCCATTTGACCATACTTTATGTTGCGCATTGCTAAAGGAGTAGAATCTGATGATGCCGGTATTTATATTCCCGATTGCATACAACCTAATTTAATTCAACGTTTAAATTAGCTCGTTCCAGAAAAACTTATCCCACAGTAGCTTTCATTATTCTTGTCATTTCAAATTTCTAATTATTATACCTCTATCAGTATCAGAGTACTATACACATTTTCACTATAATAAGCATCTGACCTCCGCACTGAGTACTGACTGATAACAAGCTTTAGATACATATTTACCATATTTTTTTATTACCATAGATAACATATTTTTTGTAACCATACTTTCACTTTGTTTACTACTAGATAGTAAAATAGACATAAAATGTAAATAAACAGATGTGAATAAAATTATTTATATTCATTTTCATTTCAATATTAAATATAAATCCCTGTATTATATTAACGACATTAAGCCGTAGGAGTTTAATTTGAATGCATAATCAGACTGTTTATGGCAATTTTATATTATTGAGTAATGATAACTTAATTGGACTTTATTATTTTGTTTGTTTAGGCGTCCTTTTAAAACATTGCAATATTACACATTACGTTTATATTTTTATATGCTCTTAATTTACTCAAGAAAATCACGTCTGACAAGTTATTATTAATTAAATAAGTCGATTTGCTATAATTAAGCAAAATGCGTCTGGCATTTAATGGAATGCTAAACTAACTCTATATGTCGTTGCATACATAATGTTTACATAAAATTATAACTTCATAATAACTTAATCAGACATGTTTTTATTCATAATGTAAATTACGCTTGTAAACGCAGGCTCGACCACTTCATTCTATGGAAGTTTTTCCTAATATTGTCGTTACAAAATTAGGAAAAACTTCCATAGAATGTAACACGGTAAAATTAAAATGTCACTCCTTTATCAATCAACCTATAATTACAATCGTTATTACTTGAGTAAAAAGACTTCGGTCAATATATAAATCATCAACTGCAATTGAATTTGTATCACTAACGCCGTCAGTACACCGGCGCAATCGTATTCGAATGCGAAATATTTGAAAATTCTTTTTAGTTGTATGGCAATGTTTCGCATGTGCTTTGTCTCACTCTATTATTAGCTCGATGAAATATCTTTGTCCTTGTTAGGTAAAGTTTCATAGTGCGAAAAGGGACCCGTGGCCTAATTGTCTAAAAAAAAATCTTTCACAAATCACTTTGAATTTGACATTTGAAAGACATTCGCGAACTTCACGCTACAACTAAATGAAATGTGAAAGCAAATGCGACCGCGACATTTTTTTTAAAGATTTTAAATGAACGATAACGTTCATTTGACGTTAATCGGAATTGTCTAAGCAAATTGATGGTTACAAATACCTTTGAAAGCTATTGGGTAATGTCAAATGAAAGCGTTGAACACTAACTGCAATCTTTCGATATTTTATGTAAGTTTTGATTATGTTTTTGAAAGTTTTGTTAAGGATACACTTTATATACATTTAAAACCCAATAACGCTTATAATTATTATTCTAGAAATAACATAATCACTCGTTACGGTGGAAAAAATACTAAGAATACGTACTTTTTTTATTATGCATTTATAACATACTTGTATTTATAACTATTTCATAAAATGGTTATTTTTTAACTACCACAAAATTTGCAAATTTCATTAAGATGACTATTACACTATGTAAATAAATTCCTCCATTACTGGGTTACCGATTTACTCAGAACTCTACATAGAACAAAAAAAAATTAACAGCTATTACTAAATATTTCGAATTTAAAATGAAATGCAAAGTTCATATATTTTTTTTATTATTAAGAGCATTGGCTACCAAGGCCATCAGCTTAATCCTTTAGTGCATACATATAATTAGAACTAAACACTACTACAAAATCCTTAGACTAAAAAAACCCTTTAAATTATGTTATATAAATATTAAATATAATAATGTAAATATTAAATGTAAGAAAGAAGAATCAAATTTGATTTAATCATTTACAGAAGACCAAAAGTATTACTATAAAAATGATAAATTATTACATACAAATCAACTATTTTCAGCATGTCCTGCACATTTTTTGGAAAAATTTTGTTTTTTAGATGATCTGTACACAAAGAAACAAAAAGAAGACGCTGCAAGTTAAAATATTTACAATTAAAAAATAAATGCTGAAGGTCACATATTGTCTCTGTACAATATTTACACAATGCACTGTCGCTTAATCCGAGGCGGTGAAGATGGGATGGGAATTTACAATGACCTATTCTTAATCTACAAAATGATGTTATGAAGTTCCTATTCGGGGTAATGCAAAGTTCATCCAAATTTTCTGACAGATGAGGCACAGCTGATGACATGACAAGCTTAGGGATTCAACGATACCACGTAGGAATCGATACTTTTAATCGATTCCTACTTGTATCAAATAGTTTTAAAATGCCTCACCATCGTCATTATTTTTATAGTTTTTTCAGAGTAGATTTGATACTGTTAATAGTCTGTTAATAGCTCTACTCTGTATAATGAAGAAAGAGAAGTAGGTCTAAATATAAAAAGCGACACATATAGGTATAATGTATTTGGCTAGATATTGCTTCAAATTTTGTTGGCTCTATATAGATCTCTAACTGCATAAAATAAGTAGGGGTTAGTAATGATTAGTCATACAGGGACAGTGCAGCGTCCCTGTCGCTTTTGGGCCTTTTTCATAACATAGACTTTAGTGCCCTAACACAGAGTAAACAGATTAATGCTCGCGAGTTTTTGACACTCCTCAGTGACTGACCGACCAAATACCGATACAAACACTTACTTTCTTACTTCACGATACTATTTACTACTCCGTTTAAAAGTATCGATGCCATAAGTACTTGATGTCGATAGAAAAATATCGAGTAAGTACTTATATTAACTCGTATCGATCATCCCTAGAAGAGCTGACATAAAAAAACGCGCTTTGCGCATTTTATTAGTACGATAGTACGATGATTTCTTTGTTTTTCGTTGAAATAAAACATTGTGTTTATCAAAAGTATGAAATTTTAAATCATTTCTAATATTTTATTGATATGAATAAAATATTTTTATCCATTAGTCGAAATAGGCGAATTAATTACAATCATACGAAATCGTAAAGATTATTTCACAACTTTAAAAAACAAAAAGAAATGAATTATCTATGACATTCTGTATCATTCAAATCGTCATTCGTTCCGAAAGCAATTGTGACTTTAAAAGTTACACAATTCCATAAATCACTATCACAACCGCTATACGTTTGAAAATGATTGTGATAGATTAAAAAAATAGACAATTAGGCCACCGGTTTTTGATGCTATCCGAATGTCACGAATTTTGTTTCTCAAAAGGTAACAACCCTGTCATCATTCACATAGTTTCGAATTTGCAAGTTAATTAATAGATCGGAGTAGTAACGGCGTAACAACATTTTTTTTATTGCAATCATTCATTCCTTTTATGTCTGCTCCACGCATTAGCCAAGATTTTGGCGATTAGATTTGTAAAATATATCAGTAAAAAGCTGACACGAGATCCACAGAAATAAACTCAAGGCATTCCGATGTGAGAACGCCATCACAATATACCTTTGCTAACATTCTCCTAAATGTGTAAAGCGGACATCATCTAGGTAGACGTGACACACGAAAATCAACATCAAAACACTTGTATTATGGAAATAGGAAACAACGCCAATCCGTAGATGCTCCGATTAATATAGAAAAGTTTATTTACTACATTGATCCAATCGAGATTCGAACCCAAAACCTCGGTGCACAAACAAAAATTCGGAACATTTCGATTTTTTTTATAATTTTGTTAAAATAAAAAATATCGAAAAATGGGTTTCTTTTCAGACATATAAGCGATTCGAATATAGGCAAAATTTCGTTTTGGTAGAAACAGAATAGCTTTTCGGGATCACAAAGATGGCGACACCGAAACGACGTGCGAGCTACTCAGCCGCGGAATTCGTCATTGCAATTGCGACGACGACGAGATGACGTAATTATAAAATAAATGCTTCAAAATGTATACTGGACGAATTCAATAACGAAACGTGAGTGGTTCACTCACAAAAACAAAACTACTTTTACTAAAAGAACCAATTGCGAAAACAATCTGCGGTTTCGAAAAAGGAACTTCCATTACCGATTCGTTGTTTAAGCGTATTTTTATAAAAGGCCAATATATATACTGACCAACTTTTCGTTTTCGTCCTCCATGTCGAGACGGGCGGCGATGCAATTCCGAGTGTCGAGGAAGGCGCGCCGCTGAGCGGTCTCCATCAGCGAGTGCATCAACGCACCAACCACGTTCACGCACAGAAACACCACGACGTTAGCAACTATCTGTGAACAAAGAATAGTTTTTTTTTTTTACTTGGATCATTCCGCAAAAATCCTGAAAATTGATATCGATATCTTTTTTACTTTATTTAATAAAAATGTATATGTCGCATCACCTTTACGAAGATCGTTTGATTTAGTTTCTTTTATTTTAATTGCTAGTTACTCGATTACTTAATTACTCGATTGTAAAAAGAGCGTGAACATCGATTCTTTTAATTTTGTTAGAATGGTGACACTGACTTTGACAGTTCGATAACAAAAATCAAGTTGCCGCCATTTTGGCAGACATTATGTTTCCGATCGCCGAGGAGTAAAGTCGTCCGACGACATCACGCTCATCTCATTATATTTTCGTGTGAAAAGTGATAAAATGGAACAAATCCCCGTTGGTATATACGCCAGCAGTGTCATTTTAAAGATAGTCCTCCGATATGGACCATCTATTTGGGCTTCGTAAAAGCCCCCTTCTGACTACCCGCCGACATATAGTATTCTGTTTTTAGCAGCAATATAACACATTGTGATTTAGAGGTACCCCAAGTTGTGTTTCTAATAATATATAATACACTATGAAAATATTTGTTTCATGTCAATCCCTAGCAATGAACGAATGCCGAAATTGTGTTTGAGAATATTTGTTTCTAGAAATATAACAAATATAACAATATAACATAGAAATACACTTTGCTAATTTTAAAGTAGTAACACTTACAGCCAGTTTCACAAACGTCCATTAAATTTTTCAAGTGTTTAAAGCGACATTACCCATACAAATTTAATATTCATTAGAGCTTAATGGAGTCAAACTGACCGTTAATTCTGCTGTATATATTTTGGTTTTGCTTGTATATGTGTTTTTTGATTAGAATTTTCCCGCAATTTTTTTATCAGTCCCTCACTTTTTAATTTTTATATTTCGCAACTCCATTTTAATGTAGCAGGAATATTTGATTTTAAAACACGTTTATACACAAGCTTGATTTTTTTACTTTGAAGCTAGACAGATGATTTTTTTACAAATGATCATAACAACAAACTAAAATCAGAATGAAATAAATATAGGCGTGATTTTTCTGCGTTTTTTATAGAATAATCTTAAGAACTGGTAAAATTATAAGAGAAGAGGATTTTTTTTATTTTATTTACAAATGCTTGCGATAATATTATTTATTTGAATAAAGGATATATTCATTTTGATTATCTCGATTATTCATTAACAAATATATTTGAATAAGCATCGTATTTATTTTCCCGTATTCATCAAACATATACCTCCAACAGATTTCGGCCCCGTGGATTTCAAATTTAATTTCTGGACCCTCGGCCATTAACGTAGACGATGTTAGAATAACTGATGTGGCCTTTTTTTATTTCATTACGGTGATAAAAATAAAGACAGGCAAATTATTATAAATTATAATGTTAAAGAGCCGCTACAAGGCTGAGATTACACAATTGAAATATAAAGGTTGGTGCAAATCTGACTAATGATTCGACGATCCTATCAGCTGAAATATTTACGGTTATTTTGGTTCGCTAGAGGAACTTGGATGTCATATTATATATTTGCCTTTTCTGACATTCCATATACGCGACGAATCTTAAGTCAGATATTGTGCCCCGATCAGTACGCTTACCGACTACAAATAGTAACCAATAAATTGTAAGACGTTCGGTCAATATGTGAGAAGAAACATCTTTTATTAGTTACACTGCTTTATTATTGAGAAAATCTTCATATTTAAAACTAGTTTTAGAGACTTCGACATTGTTTTTACGTTTATACGGGACATTGTACAAAAACCAGTTTGGAAAATTCTCAACTTCAACTAGTTTCACTACGGCTGATGAGATGAGTCTTGGTGAACTCGGCTTGTCGGATTTCAGGGCCTATCGTGAACCGGATACACCGTAGGATTTTTAGTAAGCTTCCGAAGGTCCTTTGGGCGGGAGATGTCCACAGAGCTGACTCATGGAAGAGACCCCATGCCGATCGCTAGGCGACAGGGGTAAGGCGTAACGGATTTTCCGTACAAAAAAAAGTTCACTACTGCTAATTACTGTAGATAAAAAACTATATATGTATATCATTAAAGAAAAATGCTATCAATAATCAGACACAAGGATGATCAATCATATAATGAGCCGACTTAATTAAAATAATTGCTACATAATTTTAACATAGACCGTCCCATGATATCAATCATCAAATATTTTTATAATTTACAACGAATAGCAAAGCAGGTTATGTGGAACATTCTGATTTGTCAAATAGATTTGCAACCATAATTTGGTCACAGTAGAGTTCCAAATAATTGAAGAAATACATTTTGGTGATATTCTGATGTGCTACTATGACTGACATTTTATTTTGGCGGACTGGTTATACTTTTGCTTACATTAACCTAGAAACTCGTTTTGCAATTTAAACATATGAAAACTCCTAAATTAAATTCTTACATTTTTTAACAACGACTGTCTAAAACTGATTTTTTTTTTCAAAAACATCACTAACTAACGGTTGCCGCATAAGCGTATGATATAGCTGAAAACATTTCCATGACCGGATCAGTACTTCTGAAGAATATCCCTACAAACAAACAATGTTAAAAACTTTACTTCTTTATAATATTAGTAAGTCTTGGAAAAAATAGTAAAGTAGTTATCAGTGATTCTATTATAATTAACTAAATCAGAAAAAGACCTTCAAAGCGCTTCGTCATACATAACACTTCTTTCTTTTCTAATTATCGCTTGACTTCGTCTTATCAAATGTAACACATCTACTCACTTCCGTTTCATTCACTAATAATACTAAACTAATGCAAGTTTTTAAAACTAAATAATCAATTACATTAAAATTAATTAGCATTCAGACAAAGACAAGTGTTGAGTACAAATATTAAAATTCAAAAAAACACAGTGATGATGTTTTACTAATACTCGACCTTGTGTTATTCTTGAATAATACAAAAAAAAATGTGACAAACGTATACAAACATTATCAATATTTGTTCGAGTACGCATGTGATAAAATTAAAACTTGTCTCATTGGATTGGCGTAGAGTATTTGTGCTGACGGCTTTACACAATAAATTAATGGCCACTAATCATTTATTATTATCAACTAACTAGCTTTCCGCCAGCGGCTGCGCCAGCGTAATCTCTTATCTTAAATCACTCTGTATATACTATGTATAAATCAGATACATCAGCAAAACTATTTCTTTGGAGAAATATTTTTTTTATTTTAATCGAACGTTGATCTGTAACACTTTATAATTAGGTATCCAAAAAAATATGGCGCCCTTTTTAACGCTGATGAGTCATTGTAATATCGGCTTAATATCACATTAATTTAAAGCAGCTTTAACATTTTTTTAAAGATTATTATATTCTAATACACTTGACAATATCATTTGAAATTGATACTTATTAAATATTTAACATTTCAAAATTGATATTATTATTACTTTCCTAACATAGTTAAGAATGGCTAATTAAGTCACAAAACAAATATCTACTTATAAAATTAATTGGAGACCAAATTGAACTCGAAACACAAAAGCTGTTATTATGAAATTAAGTGCTTTACTCATTAGGGTCAAGAAATTGTTATTCAATTTGCTGAATAAGTTTTGGAAGTAGCGTCTTTCTGGTTTCGTAAAATAAGCTTTATTTTATTTATGTTCAATAACCAAGCGTTGCTCGTTTTGTTTGACCGACAAATGGTTTGTTTTCGTTATGATTTTCATCGTTATTAGCTATTATTGTCCCAACTGTTGAGGAACGGTACAGCATAGGATTAACCTACGGATTACCCATCACGCGGGCCCAATACGGATTGGTGGGTGGTAACGATTGTAAATGCTGCTGGGACCAAAGGATTAACATGCGTTGTGAAGCACGTAGGAGTCATCATCAGACCTTTTACGTGCCCCAATGCAGGGGCTCAGGCCTTCCTTATGGATTGTTAAGGAGGATGGACCATGAACCTCCACAAATGCAGTCGGGACCAACAGCTTAACGTGCCTGCTTAAAAATTTTTGATCACCCATCCTATGACCGACCAATGTGAAAGTTGCTTAGTCTTCGCATCTCAGACCGAACGCGCTAACAACTGCGCCGTCGAGCTCTATGGGTGTGTTATCATTATATTAAGCTTGCGCAAAAAGTGTTTTTTAAATAAAAATGAATAAAAATAGAGAGAAATATGTGATTTTTATAAGCTCTATTATTTTTTCATGAATGAACGTACGTTGCATAGTGACTAAATTAAAATACGAAAAACGAATTAGTATTGTACCTATTAGTTTGAAAATCTCAAACAAAAACAGTTAGAAACTTTACGTCTAATATTCTCTAATAATAGTATTGATGTAGAAGCTTATCTAAAATCCATAGTTTGAAATGCTTCCCGTAAATGAACAACAGTTTTTAAATTTATTATATAAATAATTAAATATAATCTATCGTGTGACGTCAAATGTGTACCACACTCTACCCAGGGAAGAACAAAAAAGCCTTCAAATGAACGCTCCCTCTCCAGCAGCCGCGTTAATTAAGCGACTGAACATTTTAGCGTAACGAACTTAATACTTATTAAGAGAAGAATTTCAAAGTAAATTGAGACTAACGCTTGAGATATAGCTTTCTCCGGAAACCTAATTTCGTCTATTTTCGAAATGCTAGGACGGCTCCAAAGAAATGAATTGTCGAAAACTTATATACTATATATTATACTATACTATATACACTTATACTTTTAATAGCTTTTGCCCGCAACTACGTTTGCGTGGTATTAGTATATATCTATTTACAGTGGTTTATTTTTAACTAACTTCAAAAAATAAGAATTAATTTTCAACTTGACTGTTATCCATATTGCACATTTTTTTGTTTGAAAGAGTATATTCTCGAAATAATCCCATTAAAACCCATTACTCAGAACAGCGGAGTCTTAGTAATATGGATTCCATTTTTAACCTTTGGGCACTGAA